AGTTTCATACAGAATTGATTACTGATTATTTTACTTTAGGCTTTTCCTAGGGCTTTTCCCATGGAGCTTAAAAGTATAAATATTGCTATGGGTCAGGTAGTTATTATTCAAAATGTTTGCCGAACAAGATCCTATGGAAAGACTCTGCAGAAACATTCATCTAGCTGTTCGGTCATGATTTGCAATGTCTCTGATGCTACTAAGATTTACCTTATATGTCTGTCCGTAATCCACAATTGTTATTTGTATCAGAAATGAATGAAATAAATAGGATTGGCGTGGGGGTTCGGGAAAATGTGCCATACTTCAACGTCGCTTCTTCCATGGACTTGGTATGAGTTTTCCTTCTTGCTGTGGTGTAACTGACATCAGTATAACCACATAGGAGTAATAAGACAATGACAAATTTCTCATGGGCGATTTCTTTGATGTGGTAATAAAACAGTATCATTCAGTCATTACGCAACTGGGTTCTAGAATATTCTCGAACAGAATTACTATAGCACTTAGATTTGGTTAATTGCTTTTACACCTAATACGCAACTGAAACCATTATTTAAAATTAAAACCAGTGCGATCTAGGTTTGACTACTGACTTAATTGGAGTAATTTACTAATAATGAGTAGGAACAGCGTAGTCGACGGACTCATTTAAAATCAATTTACACAGACTACCGGTCTGCTACGTGAAGAAGAACAATTTTGTTCTTCCGTGGGAAAACCAAAGAAATCTTACGATTTTTGATTTAGAGGAATTTCACTGTCTGTTATCAGATCTCTTATCCGAATTATTTTCGATGATTGATTCTCAATGAATGCTTATCGAAGATACTTGTGTTGTGTGGAGATAGCTACTTTCGTTGACTTTAATGATAACAACTCGATGATGTTTTCTGAGCGAAATGAGAAAGTCTGGTCATTCAAACACAGCTTGAAGATAGTTTGTAAGTACGCAAGTTTGGCTACAAGTTATAACAAATTATACGCATTCTTACATTGATCTTAAAGTAAATTTAGATAGCAAAACCCTAAAATGAGAGGAAAGTTTCGTGTAAACTTAGAAAATTAGTACTGACATTGGTTTATTTTGTTACTGTAGAATCTTTTAATTTAGAAAAATGCATTTAGCGTAATTTATGGTACTCGTCCGTTGTCATATGTCGGAAACAACCAACAAAGTTTCGTGTAAGTATAGTACAAAATTGAATTGAATTCTACATGCCACATTCTATAAGAAAATTTTTTTTCCGGGTCGATCTGACAATTTTCCTTTCCTTTTTTACCAAAAATCGACTTTTTCGGGTCGCTCTGAGACAATTTTTTTTCGGGCCTCAAAAAAAGGCAGTGTATAACCTTCCTTTTTTACCAAAAATCGATTGCACCAGATTTCTCGGGAAAACACTTTTCTTATTCATTTTGGTGCGTAGAATCCAAAACAATTCGTACTTTGTCGATCGGACTTCTCAATCAAAAGTTATAGACTAGAAACCAATTTCGAAAGAAAATTCAAAGGGCTGTAACTTTTGAACTAGTAGCCCAATCTTGGAACTGTTTGAAATTATGGATTCTACAGGCCACATTCTATAAGAAAATTTTTTTTCGGGTCGCTCTGAGACAATTTTTTTTCGGGCCTCAAAAAAAGGCAGTGTATAACCTTCCTTTTTTACCAAAAATCGACTGCACCAAAATTTCTCGGGAAAACACTTTTCTTATTAATTTTGGTGCGTAGAATCCAAAACAATTCGTACTTTTTCGATCAGACTTCTCAATCAAAAGTTATAGACTAGAAACCAATTTCGAAAGAAAATTCAAAGGGCTGTAACTTTTGAACTAGTAGCCCAATCTTGGAACTGTTTGAAATTATGGATTCTACAGGCCACATTCTATAAGAAAATTTTTTTCCGGGTCGATCTGAGACAATTTTTTTTCGGGGCTCAAAAAAAGGCAGTGTATAACCTTCCTTTTTTACCAAAAATCGACTGCACCAAAATTTCTCGGGAAAACACTTTTTCTTATTAATTTTGGTGCGTAGAATCCAAAACAATTCGTACTTTTTCGATCAGACTTCTCAATCAAAAGTTATAGACTAGAAACCAATTTCGAAAGAAAATTCAAAGGGCTGTAACTTTTGAACTAGTAGCCCAATCTTGGAACTTGGCCCCATTCTATAAGAAATTTTTTTTTCCGGGTCGATCTGAGACAATTTTTTTCTCTGGAAAACACTTTTTCTTATTAAATGTTGCGCATTTAAATTACGATATTGTACATCAGGAAAGCAAGGTTTTCATATTAAATTACGTAATACTTACCTACCCCCGTTTTCTGTGGATGAAGATGTTACCTATCAAAACGGGATGATTGTATAGGCTCAATTGACACCCTATTGGAACAGCTACAAATTTCTTATTTCAGTGGAATAACAAAAATCAACAAAAAGCTGCTAAATGCTTTCTCTGCGGAAGTTTTTAATCATTTCCACATCCTTTTAATGGCGCTTAGGAATAATATTACTGAAATTAAATACAAATCTCAATCACTTGAACAAAATGATCCAAATTGGGTCTAATTGTTATCGATAAACGAAATAATCTGTTCAGACAAATAATTCTCGTGGGTCGATTTCTTCAGGAAAAATTTAAATGACTTCAACATTCAAATTCCGAAAAATAACTGACCACTACTATTTTTTATTAGCGTGTGGTGAGTTTCCGCCGTTGAACTCCGGAGTTACAGTAGCTTCGAGGTTGGCTTCTGTTCAGCCAGCAGTAGATCCACTCCATGTAAGCGATGGGGTTTTAATAAAACTGTTACTACTTTGGCAGTTTGGCGATTTCTTGTCTTAGGTGACGACGGCAGAGGTGATACGGGAAGTGGTGATAATTCAGCCGATTTCCAGAGAGACATGAAGATTCGTGTCAGCAACTTTTATTTGACAGGACTGTCACGTTATTAAAACAGTAACAGCTCTCAATGTCAAATGCAGCGAATGAGGGCTACAGCGTGGGCGAACAGTAGTCCTACGCTGTGGGTGAACAGTAGCACCAAGGAGCGTCTTCTTCGCTATGGATGAATTTTTATGGCAGTGCGCGTTTATTTATATCCCATTTCATTCATCTTCTTTGTCTTCTGCTACGAATTGATCTTATCTTCCCTTGGAAAAGGTAGTTTTTCTTAGAAATATGGAAAATGGAAATATATCGCTCCTGTGCGGTACAGCGAACCAACCAGCCAGCTTCAAAATTCGAGAAAGTAATACTCGAAATCGTGTTTACTTATGCACAGTGATAACATGCCACTTTCCCTTGTATTGGCCATTTTGCCCAATGGATTAGGTTCAGAAGTTCGAGCAAGACACAAATTAAAAAATCTTATTATATCAAGCGGCTAAAAATGTTTTTTCGTCCCACAATCTACTGCAATTAGGGTGTGTCCACATGTATAAAATTACGGATAACTAGCCATTTATCACGAACTCGAATTTTAGGAGCCCTGGCTACTTAATATGTTTTTACTCGTAGTTAATCTGTTCATTCTTTACTACTATTCGAATAAAATGCACTCAATAAAATGCACGTGCCAATTCTTAAAATCGTACCACGAATCTTCCCGCATACGCGGAATGAAATCTCTCGTACATAAATTGGCACGCGCCTGCTCTTATAACTTCGCAAAAAATTCAATTTTAACACTTAAAATTGTACACAATTTATAATAAATCTCACGCACAAACAGTGTACATACGCGATCGCTCTTCTTTAAAACTAATTTTTAACTCAAATAGTACGTTTCGGCTCGCGAACTCGAGCAAGAGTCTTTTTAACGTATCCAAATAGTATGGTTTGTTATCGCCATACATATTTTCGTTCAGCTTCGACATGTAGCGGTACATGAGTAAATTTCCATATGTTTATCAAAATAGAAATTCAAAAAGTTATTCTTTTAATTTTAAAACGGCCACCCGTTACAGTTTCCAGTCCGATCCTGCTATTTTCAGATACTGTCGTGTTTAAATCTAAAAAACTCGCTCTGTGTAGGTAATGTGTAAATGAAGTACAATACTTATTTACATTTACTTTATTTTACATTTATTTACATTATCCCATAATCCAAAAATAAACCGCTGCTGTATTACATAAAAGTTGTGTCAAAAAAATAGCGCCCTCCTATTTTGCTTTTGAGCCCACTAGCTACGTGTCCGTATTTGAAGACGCTGGAGAAGGGTCAAATTATATAAGCTCTTCAGCGTAACTTTTAGTTTAAATTTGAGCAAAATATCTCAAAAACTGCAGGAGATATAAAGAAAAAACTTGAAACATCTTGAAATTTTAACACCCTGTAGATCTATGTTTATATAAACTTTTAGTTGTAAAATTCTCTCCCGAAAAGGTTCAGAATTCTCGTGTGTGGAATATCTTCCAGAAAAGAGAAATTCCATATGATACGTCCTACGAAAGAATCATAAGCATAGTGAGTGTCCTCAATCTTGTGGGGGAGGGCGTAGTAACGGTGGGTCTGTGGGATTATGGCTACTATGCTAATTGCCTTCGGGATAGTGTTATCAAATGTCCTTTTTCCGGGGGGTGTTGGGGTGGCGATGGTGCTACGTTAACCCTCAAAACGTTCAGCCCTTAGAGCTCTTGTGCCCGGAATGTCTCCCAGGATAAGAATGACCATTTTAAATTATCTATTGCATTGCAAAAAATGGTCCCTTGAAACTAACCCTTTGTAACATTTTCACGCGGAATTGGTATCAAATTTACTTATTTTTTTTCTTATCTCCAACTATATTGTTTATAAAAATATAAACAAATTCAAATTACTCTGTTTCTGTTGTGCTGTGGACAAACTCAATTATTAGAGTTTAAAGAGCAATCGTTCTAAGACGTCAGCAAAATGTTATTTGTTTATTTATACAGTAAAAAATTGAAATACTCTGTACATATTTTAAATATTACAGGTTACTGTATTCCCACGTGACGTCAGGGATCCATTAATCATCTTTAAAATGGCTCCATCCATCACTGCCAAATTCAGTTTACCCTTTGTCATCTGACATCCGAGTTTGACATGGGAGCAAAATTTCGCTCTTAATAATTACCTTCTGTTACAATTCTAAAATTGTTTATTTATAAAAAACGCTGAAACTTACGTCAAACTTTGTTTAAGGATTCATTTTTTTTATAAAAAAGCAAGTTTCATTGTGGACCCACATTACATTGAAGACAGGTAAATATTGGATGACGCAAGATATTTAAGTCCAGGAATTGTACAAAGGAAGGCCTACTAGTCACTCTGTAATATGTTTTATGTAAGTACGATTGTGGTTTACTAAGTAATTGACATTTGCCTCGTTTTTAGACTGCTTGCACGATTGATGTAAAGAAACAATTCAAAATGAGTTTTCGTTATTCAACTCAAGCATCTTAGCAATTCGTAACAGAGAATCGTACATCTAAGTGCCAAAAATGAAGAATCGTTCACCTAGCACTGGATCAGGATCCAGCGTATTAAGTAGTATTAAATATGAACATCTTTTAGCCGGAATTTCCGGGGGCGCCATTTCGACGCTCATTTTACATCCACTAGACCTGATGAAAATTCGATTTGCCGGTACGTGATCGCAATTTAAAAACACTACCCGTTTTAGTCTAGTAATACTCTGTTTAGTTAACGATGGAAGCGCTAAAGTTCCGCAGTATAGTAGTTTGGCTAATGCATTCCGTACAGTTCTGAAACAAGAAGGTATAAAAGGATTATATAAGGGTGTCGCTCCTAATGTTTGGGGCTCTGGAAGCGGATGGGGCTGTTACTTCTTATTGTAAGTATTTTAAGGGGCTCACATTTTTTTAAGCCCATACAATAGCTTAACAATGGGGGTACTTTACTCATTTTGTTGTTTGTGCGGTTGGGTTACGAAATTATGGGTGGAATCTGCCATGTAGGAAACAAGGGAGGTAGCGAGAGCATGCATTTTGTCCCCCAGGTGTGCACAAATTTGTTTAGGGTTGCCATATAGGTATAAAAAAAAGCATAATAACGGACATATGGGGTATGTCCTAACTGGGGGATTTGAGTAGCCCCCAATTGATTTATTTTTTATACGGTACCATAAGATGTGTGCTACATGATAGATTATACAGGGATGGAAAAAAATTATTGCAGGTCTGGCTTATAATAAGCTAGAAAGAAACCCAATAAGCATTATATGAATGTGAAGTGAGATAGAATGCACAACAAACTGCTATCCTGATTGGCTGGACAAGAAAACATATTTGTAAATGGCACACGCGTCCACATGCATGCAAAAATTGACCCTTCCCCACAATTATTTTGGAATGTCATGATTGAATGTGTGCCATAATGGTCTGGTGGCATAGATTTTTAGCGCATTTTTGAAAAAAATACGCTATTATATTCGTCATTGCTGGCAGGCCGGCTGTCCGCGTTAGATCTCCACAACTACAATAGCTAGAGACTTCAAATTTTCACTAAAAGCTTTCTGCTATAGTGTAGATGTGCAGGCACTACTCTATTTTGAGTTAGATTACTTGTGAAATCGATAATTGAAGAAAATAATTTCGATATGGGTTTCGGAGGTGCTATAATTTTACCGTTAGATATAGCGCTACCAATATAAAAACTTATTATTTACTTTGTGATTTGTTTTACAAAATGAAGACGTACCGTCAATTGAAATTAAATAAAATTAATTATTTAACGCAGCCAAAATGACTCGTGAGATCGATAATTTTAAACTTCGCTAATAAAATACTGACCTGCATTACCAAAAATGCGCTTTAATCATGCATATGCTGATTTACAACTTGTTTTACTTGCAACCGGGCGACTCATTTGCATAAAAAGCTTTCTTGTTTTATTTTTTTTTCACAAAACTGCGTACTTATGCTAATTCAACAGTTGGACATTAGGTTATTTGTTTTTTGAAAAATACAAAAATGCCGCGGGGTTTTCCAAAGGGATAACGCGTCTGCTATTTACGGACTGACTGATGTCGAATTGTGACCTTGGGAGCGTAATTTTTTACACCTAATATCGCACTGTCACCCCATTTGCTTTGGGGATGCGCATAGATGTCGCTTTGCATAATGAGAGACCTGCCTACTAGGTGGAGCTGACTGTATTATAAATACATATTTATTACAGATTAATCCGAGGATTAATCTTTTAAATTTTTGAAATAGAAACTAAAGAATAACGGGCAAGCAGGTTAACGAGCCAAAAAGCTAACCCGCCCGTAGCCCAAAATATTTTCACTACTTCCCAAAGTCATTACCAATCTATGTATCAAAATTGAGGTTATGTCATAGCGCTTTTTAATCATTATGCGAACGGACAGGAGGACATTCAGACTTTTTTTTTGTTTTAATTAATTAATATCAGTTTATCGTATGATAGGATAGATCGTTAATTTTTTATATCACCCATAGTGTCACTTTACAAACCTGCAATGTGCTTTAATCTCGTCTTAATTGTCTTGGAAGTTACTTTCAAATTCTTTGGAAGTTCCCTCTCCTCAAATCCTAATTCCCTCTATGTTTCCCTTACATTTTTTTAAATATCTCAAATTACTTTCATATTCACTTAATTTCTTCTTCAATTTTTCCTTAAACCAAGCTCATTTCACCCTCATAAAATTCGGCTTTATGATGTCCTCTGTCTGGCCCTACCATTGTTCATAACAGGTTGTTCTTCTCTTTTGTGAGGACCTTCCGTAGACAAAAGGATATGGAAATCTCTTCTATCGTCTGACAGAATCTTTCCCAAGACGCTCTCTTTGCCTTCCGAATCGCCTCAGTGAGGGACGTTCTGTATTCAGCCCAGCACCCAGTGCCCCTTGGCTTTGTTAAAAAGTCTTTGGTTTTCCTGAGCTTTGGGACTATTTTTGTCCACCGGGACGGTGGCGTAGATGAGGGGTTACGTCCGCTTTCCTGACCCTGCCGGTGTGTTTCACTTTAGCAGAAACCTCTCCCTTGACTTCGGATGAGCCACGACCAGGGCTTGCTCATCTAGTTGAAGCAGTTGAGCTCTCCCCTTTGGAGTCAACTTGGTGGGTTCTGCTTTTAAGTGTTCGACCAGAGGCCTTGAGGACCCAGCCTCCTCAGTGGGTTTGGTTTGATTGGTTTTTTGTCTGGCCTTTCTCTGTCTGCGAGTAACCAGAACTTGCCTAAACTTGAAAGCCAATCGCGAATTTTTTTCTAGATAACTGGGCGACGTCGAAGAGTATTACTACGGTTTAAAATGCGGTTGGTCGACTCTTCCGCCTCTCCGAGACAGTGGCGACAATTGAAGCTGAAAGCTTCGCCCAGCCGCCATGTTGCATCGAAAATTCGTTGTAGTGTAGTGTAGGCAACACACAATACACGTATGACACAATAACCTGACCATATTATACATGTAACAGAAACTTGATGCAACATGGTCGCCGGTTTCAAAGTCCCTATAACTGCAGATTCCTATCTAAAACTACAAAATCTATCAGTCCACACTGGCCGCAAGAGGGCGACGGGACCATCTAGTTGAGTATTAACTCACAATCTTTTTTGCGCCTGAAAAATTAGTAAAAATTAGAAAGTGGTTTGATTGTCCTTTTATCTTCACCTAAGAATTCACTTGTTGCATATTTTGCCAACTTATATCTAGTGTTAAATAAATTACTGTTATACTATAATGTGCCTATATATTGTGATCTCCACTAACTTTAAAGAAAAACAAATTGTTGGACCAATGGACAGTGGAGTTATTCCTATAAGGAAAAGTGGGTCGCCAGCTGAAAAAGGTTGAGAACCACTGTTTCAGATGAATTACCTAATTATTTTGTCATCAAAATGGTAAAATCAAAATTTCAAAATATTCGCGCGCTTAAGTGATACAGGGGAAATTTCAGGATGACGATATTTCCTAGTTAAGAGAAATACAGGAAAATGTTTATTACAAAATTTCCTTATAATCATTGTTGAATAATGTGCCCTAAATGGATATACAGAGTGCAGTAAACAAATGATCGGACCTAACTAATTTTTTAATGAAACACCTTGTATATTTTAATTAAAAAAAGATTTTTTTTAATCCTTTTGAATCTTTTTTGAACAGCATCCGTGACGTGTCATACTTTTGACAATAAAATTTAACAATTTTCAACTTAAAATATACATTAAGAAAATGAGGTTAGGTCCGATCACTTTTTCACCTGACCCCGTATAGGAAACAGCAGATTATTCAATAACCACGATAAAGACTTTTTTGCATTTCTTTTAAGAAAATATAGTCCTTCTGAAGTTGCCAGTTTTTTTATTTTTCTCTGTATCCAGTGTCAAAAATGGAACACCCTGTACACAAGTCTAGCTTTGGTAATCTGAAATTTTCTAGATGCATACCTGCATGACCAATGACTATATTTTGGATAGTCTTAAATATATGCTTGGTATTCAAAATATTTTTGAGTTTGAGTGATTATTAACCAACAAAGCCCGCTTTCTTGAAACCTCAACTCTTACACAGGACATTATTAATTCAGAGAAGTTTCATAATGAAACAACACAATAGTACAGGGTGGTTCAAATTCATGGCTCGCCACTGGGGTTTCAGTAACGGTGATAGATACAGTGTAGGTTTAATGGGGGCAAAGTTACCCCTTTTTGTGACTAAAAAAAACGCATTTGAGATTTTTGAAAAATCGTTGAAAATAACTGAGATATCACTGAAAAACCAAAAATGACAAATTGTTTTATTATTATTTATTATCCCTCTCTTGTTCTGGGTCCTCAAGAGGCTTGCGTCCATAACACACTAGTGACTAGATGTAGAAGTTACAGACTACTACTTCCTTATTTCTTATGGACGCCATATTGAATTTTTACGTAAATTTAGAAGAAAAAATTCCCCTCCATCTCCATCTTATGTGATCCTTTCATTTGAGTTGTAGTAAGCGACTTAGTGATCATGTAATTTATATTAGCTATACAGGCAGAGACATAGGAAAGCTGCAAAATGCTCATCCGTCCATTTGATTGGGTGTTTCATGTGTAATTAATTTAGTATTTACTGCGTAAATAATATGCCAGTCCAATCTTGTGCAAAGAGAGTAAAAATTGCAACCAAATATGGCAACTGGGAAAACGGTGGAACAAAATTGAGGCAAACCAGAATTTCCTATGACTCCTATGTGACATGGTTGATGATTATTAATTATTTATACAGAAATTTTAAAAAAGACCAAACTCGATTATTCAATGCTCAAGAAATAGTGCAGCGGAGAGCCGGCGCTAACTCCCTTATTTGAGGTAGTTTTTTTTTCGGAGTAGAAAGAATTGGGACCCACACCATTTTGTTCAGAAATGTTTGAACCTTCAGAATCTCGCTTTACGACATTTTCCCGTGGTCCTGACAAAAGTTATAGGCCGCTAAAGTTGAAATTTACTCATTTTCGCGCGCGCGACTAGACCACCGAAAGTATTTATTTTCTCAGCAACTAAGCGATATACATCAATAATTCCTTTTGTAAAATGAAAGTACATTTATAGCAGAATCTAAAGCATTCAATTTACCTACCTTGTTATGGACAGTTTTTAGAAAAATGACCGTAAACTTCCAAAATTCGTGTAGCAGATGAAAAGTGCGCACTTTGAACTCTCATAACTTTTTATTTCACGATATCGATTTCCAATATTTATAGCTCATTCGATGCTCCAAAGCATTGTGATTATTTTATTTTCTATAACATTACCGTGAATTTTTCATAATAAAAAAGTTACGGTCATTTAAGTAAAAACCTACCGACCTCGCCGAGTCGGTAATCGCGAGTGAGACGGAGAGGGAAGGATAGTCAGCAGCGTTCGCTAAACAAGGAGCGATGCTTAAGAGATTTTACTTTACTAAGAAATTTCTCTCCGAATACCAAAACTAGCTATTTAGGCCGTTTAGTTTACAAATGCATTCCGCCGAGTTGCATTGTAAAATCTCAAACAATTCATTAACTCCATGTATCTCAGTTCTTTGGTGAAATATATAGGTACAAATAGGTACCTTTCCCTGTAAATTTTGGGGGTTACTCCACATCAGGTATCTCTTGTGCTGTGCTGTATATTGCAAGATCAGCAGTAACAACGGTATGATTTTGTCCCAAAGATTCAGGCTTGTTTTTTGATTTCACTAGACGATGGTTAGGATGGTATTGTAGCTCGCTGGTGGAAAATTCAAAAACGGCATAGGTATATTATATTGAATGGTAGATACCGGAACTTACTTAGGAGGATTATCAGCAGGTACTTATGCTGTTAAAGTCAGTATTCTGGTCGTTATCTAGTGATAGGTAAACCTGGTGGTCAATCATTTCTAGACATGCCGTCTGCATGATCTCGAATTTAAACTTAACTTAAATAATTTAAATATGTAGTCATCTCAATAGTTTCAAAACTTTTAGGAGTTTATTTTTTCCCCCCGGTTCTTTTGAAATGTGTTAAATTCAACTGTCAACTTTTAATGTAATAATTCAACCCTCCGGTTGGTTGTCTTAACTCTTAACAAGGCTTGATAATAATTCGTTTTGAAACTTAGGACAACCTTTCCGGTTTAACCACCCTTCAGGTTTTTTCACTTGGCTTCGGCCAGTTAATAATTAAAAAACAACATGTTCGTCTTATTCGTCTTCAACGTTTGTAACTTACCGTTTTCCTGTTAAATTTCACATCGCCTGATGATGGCAGTACGCCGAAACTATAGTCGCTTTTATTTTTAAAAACTTCAACGAATAAAAACTATATGGGGAAGGTTTAGAGAGTTTTGATCACACAATATATTTCAACCCCCATTTCGAGGAACGATGGATCCAAACACCAAAAAAAAAAATCCATGTATTCGTTTAGGAGCCACCCTCAAAAAAGTGGTAAAGTTTCTTTTTTTCTCAGCAACAGTTACAGAGACTGGTGGTAAGTCTTTGAATAGGTTTTGCTGTATGCCCTTTCCGGTTTTGCAAATAATTTTTCAAAATTCCTACCGCAAAAGGACACACCCCTCAATAGGGGTGCGAAAAAATGTTGATTTCGACGAAATTTGGTATCTGGTGGTTTTTGAATCTGAAATTAGTTTTTGAAAATTCGAAAAAAATAATTCCATTGCAATTCTTGGCCGGACAACGAAAATTGACAAAATTCCACGAAGTTTATTGTCTAGGTACATACTTACGGAACTTATTGAACAGTTTTTCTTAAGGTCATTTTTCAAACAAAAGTTACACTCATTTGCAAATTGGTCTTTCGGGTCAGAAAATGTTCTCCGACAGTGGCATAACAAGTACAGTAAACGTCAATATTACATGTTCTGCTAAGGGTGTCTACCTACATTTCACAAAAATTTGTCAAATAAAAAATGATAATTTTATCACAGCGAGCAACTTCGACATCAATGAGGAAACAGTCACAGAATAAGAATAAGTAGGCCATATTCTGTGGAAACAGACGAAAAAAATTCAACGCACAGTCTTTTTTCAAAAGCGAGATACATCGACAGAAGAAATCCAAATTCCTCGTTTACCTATCACTAGATAACGACCAGATAACTGACTTTAACAGCCTAAGTACCTGCTGATAATCCTCCTAAGTAAGTTCCGGTATCTACCATTCAATATAATATACCTATGCCGTTTTTGAATTCTCCAGCAGCGAGCTACAATACCATCCTAACCATCGAACTTGCCTTACATGGAAAAAATTTAAAAAGAAATTGTACGATTATCTAGTCAATGGGTGTTTCTACAACATACAAGAATTTTTTATATCTTCCAATATTTAATTGTTTGTTTGTTTAACTGTTCGTTTGTTTAATTAATGTTATATTGACTTGTTCCATACAAATGTTATTTGTCGAAGAAATTAAATAAAAATGAATGAATGAATCGTCTAGTGAAATCAAAAAACAAGCCTGAATCTTTGGGACAAAATCATACCGTTGTCACTGCTGATCTTGCAATATACAGCACAGCACAAGAGATACCTAATGTGGAGTAACCCCCAAAATTTACAGGGAAAGGTACCTATTTGTACCTATATATTTCACCAAAGAACTGAGATACATGGAGTTAATGAATTGTTTGAGATTTTACAATGCAACTCGGCGGAATGCATTTGTAAACTAAACGGCCTAAATAGCTAGTTTTGGTATTCGGAGAGAAAATTTCTTAGTAAAGTAAAATCTTACGCATCGCTCTTGTTTAGCGAACGCTGCTGACTATCTTCCCTCTCCGTCTCACTCGCGATTACCAACTCGGCGAGGTCGGTAGGTTTTTACTTAAATGACCGTAACTTTTTTATTATGAAAAATTCACGGCATGTTATAGAAATAAAATAATCACAATGCTTTGGAGCATCGAATGAGCTATAAATATGGAAATCGATATCGTGAAATAAAAAGTATGAGAGTTCAAAGTGCGCACTTTTCATCTGCTACACGAATTTTGGAAGTTGACGGTCATTTTTCTAAAAAACTGTCCATAACAAGGTAGGTAAATTGAATGCTTTAGAATTCTGCTATAAATGTACTTTCATTTTACAAAAGGATTATTGATGTATATCGCTTAGTTGCCGAGAAAATAAATACTTTCGGTGGTCTAGTCGCGCGCGCGCGGAAAATGAGTAAATTTCAACTTTAGCGGCCTATAATTTTGTCAGGACCACGGGAAAATGTTCGTAAGCGAGATTCTGAAGGTTCAAACATTTCTGAACAAAATGGTGTGGGTCCCAATTCTTTCTACTCCGAAAAAATTTTTTGTGCGATTTCGCGGCTCTCCGCTGCACTAAAATGGCCTTTATGCTTCTGTGGTTTCACATGTCATTATTTGTCCACATACATTTTGCTGCACTTTCCCTTTTGATGCAACTGCACTTTTTTACCTTCTCACTGTTATCTCCTGCTGTCTTGCTTTCATACTCATTCTTGTTCTCAGTGTTGCTCTTTTTCCCTTCATTCGTGTCTTTTTTTTCTGTTTGGTTATCCTGCTCTTGTTATCTGCTGCGTTCCTGTCCTCTTCTGCTCTCACCCGCCAAATTTTTAGATACAGCGCCTTTTTGATATCCATTTACAATCAAAAGTTAGTGGGATAAGTTTTCAAAATTGCACATTACCATCTTCTCACTCGATCAAAGTGTCAATCTGCGATTTTTTTTTTTAGCTACAATAGTATTAAAACGTGGATTCAGGCTGGAGACGCCCAACAACAGCTCGGCCCAACTTTACATATGTTAGCTGCATCAGAAGCAGGAATACTAACATTACTCGTCACGAATCCGATTTGGGTTGTGAAAACGAGATTATGCTTACAATACGAATCGGGAGTATCGACCTCGACAAACGATACGTACAGAGGCATGTTAGATGGCTTGAGAAAGATATATAAAACCGAAGGGTTACGTGGACTGTACAGGGTCAGTGCCACTCTGCATTGACAGTGGAATACAATATGCGGATTTGTTTATACGCTCTTTACAGGGCCTTGTTCCTGGAATGTTCGGCGTTACCCATGGGGCTTTGCAGTTTATGACGTATGAGGAAATGAAAGAGTTTTACAACAGATATCGAGGCGTCCCGTTTGATACTAAATTGGTATGTCCCCGTTACTTAATTAATTACGCTACTTTCTGTGTTGTAGACCACTAAGGAGTACCTATTTTGTGCGGCCACATCAAAACTCATTGCCGCAGCGGCAACCTATCCATATCAAGTGATTCGCGCACGTCTACAAGATCAACACCATAGCTACACCGGTTCGTGGGACTGCATTAAGAAAACTTTTAAATACGAGGGAATTCGAGGATTCTATAAAGGATTGGCACCCTACTTACTGCATGTAACACCCAATATATGTTTAGTTATGCTCGTCTACGAGAAAGTAACGAACAAATAGGCAATTGAATATTTTTCTACTTAATGTGAATGCACCATTGAATCTATCTACATAATTTTAGCAAATTTTTAGTACAGGTCTAGTTAATTTCAAGAAACACGCATGTGGCTGTTGTTTATCTGTGTCTCTCAACTTGTCATACATATTTAATACGACTTAATAATAAAGTGAACGTTTTTAACATTGTGGTCTGATTTGCATGATTTAACAGTTTTCTTCAAGATGAGCAATGTAGCTGTGTGTTTTTTAAATGTGCAATGTGTGTACTAAGGATCCATCTATTTTAATTGTGAGGATACTGCATCAACTTCAATTTGGTAATCATGTATGATGCACTACTCTTCCATTTAACCATTGAAATTTAAATGTAGATTTGGATATGGGAACCGGGAAGTTCTTGACACTGAGACTGAAGCTAGATTAAATACAGGTCTTCCATGGAAAATGGGCTCGGAGGATGTGATGTAGAATCCTGTTGATTATATAATAACGGATATTAAAATGATGGCAAAAATGAGTGTTTTTATATTCAGAAAAAATCGCGCTTGCGTACAATTTGGTCCTTGATGTGAAATCTATTTTTTAAGTCTAGTAACTTGCAATAGCAGCGCACCATGCTATCTCAGGAGATTTCTAGAACCCTCTGGAAACAACTAGCTCCAACTTCCGGCAATCAGTAACAAAAACTAGTTATCTACTATAGGTAATAGTAAAATGGCACTTGGAACTTTAGACGTTTACAAAATTGGGTGGATTTAATCTGAGTCCCCATTTATTTATAGGTAAGTAATGTAGGTACTAAAGACTTCTATAGAGTAGATAATAGATTCCTGGAAAATTTCATGTGAAAGCTCGCTAGAGTCCCAATTTTGGGGTCTTGTCCCAGTCAGAATTTAATAAGAAAACATTTCAATGGAGTAATTTTTTATGTGAAGCTTCTGTCTCTATCTTTACTAAGTAGTTACTATGCAAGGTCGCTACTACTTACCTCACGCTCAAACTTTTTGAGATATTCGCGATACAGATTAACAGTGAAACCTCTGGTGGCAGCACATTGTACTTAATACAAGTGGTTTTCCGTTTGTTACACCTTCAAGAGCCAGAGTAGTTTAGAACGTCAAATTTTTACTTTTAAAAATTTTAAATTAATGTGCAATTATGCAACCAACAATAACGATAATTTAAGAAATCGTCATCTAACGCATAAGCAAAGAGTAATTAAGTATTCTTTGGCCATAAGTAATATTTCCAAAGTCTAAAAGTAAATAAACAAACAGAGCAATTACACAATCAACAATAAGAATAAATCTTTAATTGTGAACAGTGCAATTACACAACAAAAATAGACGATATACCTAGCTATACGTTATTCTTTGGCACACATCGGTACTATCATTGTAAATTTTAATTTGTAATAATATTAGGTAGATTTCTATCTATCTACCTATTGTAATGGTACCAATATATTTATAGGTTTAGGTATATATCACTTCCAAGAAACACATATGAACCGATTTTCACCAAACTTTAAGGGTTGATGATATCTCGGTCAAGTTCGTGAATCAGTCAATTCCGCCATCTTGAAACAAAATGGCCCGGTTGCATATTTTTGGAATGCGACCTCACTTTAATCATGATTAGATGTGTGCCATAATGTTCTAGTGGCAAGGATATTCGGCTCGCAACCGGGCAACTCGGGTTCGATTCTTTGCATGAAGTTTTTTTTTAATCTATTGAAACCTTTTGCCAAAGATTATGCGGTTATGCGGTATGTTTTCTTATAAAACTGTTAGACCTGCTAGTTCTCGACCCCTAGTGCGTTTATAGCTGGTAATAGTAAGGATAGTGTTTGATTTTCTGATTGCTAATCTGAATTTGTATAGTGACGTAAGAGGTATATGAATTTTTCTCGCAGCAAAGCCATATACTTACACGGGTTGTATGGTGCCTTCCCGTAACGCCCTTTCCTATTTTTCGCGGGGGAAAATCCGTTTTCTCCCCAAAAAGCGCACTTTTTCTCGAAAAATTCCCAGCCGAACACCCCTTCATTCGTTCGCTCCACAGAGCAGGCTAATCGCGCGCAAAGTCAAATTTTTTCGTATCTCTCCTCCGTCCGCTACGAATGTGTAAGGTAGCGGTCGCACTTTTCGCCCTCCGTGGAAGGTGGGAGGGGGGACGCAAGCTAGATCAAAAAAATTCGATAAGTGCCCGCCCCTGACCTCTACGGATTACGAAAGTACCGACCGCGTAGGTCCAATAACTTCCCGCCCAGATTCGAATAAGTGTTTTTCCCGTTTTTTCAGCAGCCCCCCCCCTCCATAAAAAATTGCACCATATACCCTGTTAGACGCCCCCATCCTCGGTACCCCTCTAAAACGCAGCGGCGGCCACGTAACTTTTACCGTTTCCCTCCGGAGGGGGTTTTATGGGGAAAAACACGAAAGTGTGGGTGGCGTGGGGTGGAAACGACCCCCCAGCGACTTTCTTTGTCAACGGGCCGGATTTTCAAATAAAAATTGGAGCGCCGTAAAGGCATCGAACTTTATTTTTCTAATAGCAACGCAAAATTTCTATTAAATTATTCGAAGGATTTCTTGTTCTGTGTACAACCTACATAAATTATGGTTGGTTTGATTACAAAAAAATTATCAAAGTCCTCGTGTGAGATCGAAGGGACTTCAGCGCATTTTTGTGTGGCAGATCAGTATTCTATTAGCCACTTTTGACTCAACCATCAATAAAAGATCTTGTCGAAGGCTACCACATTCCCTTTGACGGTACCCACTTCCGACGTCCCGTTCACCCGCAATTCGCGTTTGAAGATTTGACTCCACCATCAGTAAGATCGTGTCGGGGGCTACCACATTCCCTTTGTTGGTACCCACTTCCGACGCCGCCCCGTTCGCCCCAAATTCGCGTTTGAAGTTTTCACTCCACCATCAGTTAGATCTTGTCGGAGGCTACCACATTTCTTTTTTCGGTGCATATACTTATATTACACCCACATTTTGGTAGATATCGCTAAAAACCCTCCACAAGATAGTTAATTTTTGGGGCACTTCTTATTGCTCGAGCTTCTATTGGCGACACGAGAAAGAGAGACAGCGATTCGTGACAAAACTCGCAACGGAAGGTGCCCACGCGCAAAAGGTCGTTAATTTCGCCTCTAGGACAAAAAACAAAATTCCGCAGGAGTTGTGCGCGTTTACTACATCTTTCCGACGACACCAATTTGAAAAGAATCGGACTAAAACTGTAGTAGAAGATAGGAAAAACTGAAAAACCTTCACGTTAGTATTCTACGCTCGAAAATGACGCCCAGATGTCGCCAACCCCACATCATGTAGCCCTGTCCATAAGGTTGACAAATTACACGGCCTTGTAGATACACGTACACCCGTTGCCTTTTACAAATAAATTTGCAAAAATGCGCTAAGAAACGGAGAATAAAATGTCCAAACTAAAATTTTTTTGGCAAAACGGTTATTTTGATTTCGTTAAAATTTTGGCAGTGTTCATATTAGAGGTAAAACTGTCAAAAACTTTTTTTATATCTAGTTTGAGCTAGGAAGCTGTTTTGTCAAGAATTTCCTGATTATCATTTCCACTATGAAGCTCTCGTAAACCGGAGAGAGAACAAATAGGCAAAATTATGCAGAATTTTCTGCTAATTAATTTGCGCTTCAAAATTTCTTATAACTCCACAAATTGCCACAAATTCTGACCAAAAAACCGAAAGATGTGATTTTCGAGAATATGCTAACGACCTGGCGGCCATTTATTTTCAAAGATATCAAAAAATAATTTTAACAAACCCTTACTGATTTTTTCTCATCTTTCTACGCCAACTTTCTTATTTCTTATGGATTTTTACGTCGCTAGATATAGAGTAAAAAATTGCAAAATCGAAAATACCAAATACTTATAGTATTTTATTCGGGAATTGATCTTGAATTTTTGCAGTGAAGTTTACAATGTATTTCTTATAGCAATAAATCCATCGCTTGCTTAAAATTATTTAACATTTTTCGTTTATTATCTGGCATAGTGTCCATCAACACGGCCATGGAAGTATGGCTATAAGAAATACATTGTAAACTTGGATGCACAAAGTCAAGATTAATTTCCGAATGAAATACTAAGTATTTGGTATCTCCGATTTTGTAAAATTAAACAATCTCCTTCGAATGTAAAACCGAACAGTTTTCCAAGATCATTTTTATAACTAACTCGTAATACCATTGTTTCTTGCGTGGTGTATTGTTTCACTTTTACTTCTATTCAACTTAGAAAATATAGAAAAATGGGCACATTCGTTGTAGCAGTAGATAATAACTAACAAAATTTTGAGTCTTCCTCAACATCGACGAGCAGCGTTGGATGAAATTTAAAAACAACTCAAAGTAACATTTAAAAACTTGTGTAGATATCCAATTCTGGATTTTATTTTGGCATTCAATCTGCATTTCCCATAAATGGTACTACACGTTTAAGAACTTTTCTCTTTGAAACCGTTTTGGTCTACTGAAAACGTTGGTAAACGAATAGGTATATAGGTTTTTTTTAAATTCTAATAACATTTCTCTGTTCAATTTGAAGTTATGACTAATGGCAATGCGATAAACCAGTCCAGGTAAAACGTTATCTTTCGCATTAAATATGCCGAATTAGTAATTGTATAGACACCATTCGATGTGATACAGTGCTGCAGTGCAGATGGTTTTCTCAATTTGGCGAACTACCCCTAACAAAATTAACTGAGTAAGTTTTATTTTAAGTGAAATTAAATACGAACATAACGAATATTGCATTCGTAATTATGAATTCCTTTGTGTTAGGTCATTGAATAATGAAATTTTTCAGTCAAAGGTTAGGCTGAGTCACGATCTCCTGTGGTATTTCACTGAAAATTGCTGTCTAATAATAGAAGCATGTGTTTCATTCAAATTCAACACAATGTGAAAACAATGTTTTCCATGAAAATTCACTGTCTGCGATGTTAACCTGAAACACGGGAGGCAATACCTTAATGTCGCAAAGTTACTGGTTTAATTTTTTGGAAACGCTGTGTTCCAAAAGTTTCTTGAATATACTATCATAATTATACTCATTTTATAGGCTACTGCCATGGATTTTTAAGCACAATCTTCAAATTTTTACAACTGCATAACCATATTCTTTCTGAACCATCTGTCCATCTAGTGATCAAAAAAGCTTTATTAAAAAGAACTCAAGGTTCTTATTAAGCCAAGGTGCTATTGGCTATTCACGTGCAGTTTCATCAAACGTATTAAAATAAAAATTTTGTTCTTTGGTGAATTGTAATAGGTGATTCATTTTACCGAGTGGCACATTCATGTTATGATTTAAACAGTTTTAAAATAAAATTTAATCTTAAATGGTAAAATCTAATCGCGGGGTGGAGGGTATGGATCCTAAGTACCTAGTTAGATTCCTACAAGACACTTAAACCAGTTCTAAAGTGTTAGTGTGGCGATAGCTTGTAGTCTGAATTTAACACTCATAAATCCTTTTGTAAAGGGTTGAAGTCTATATCTCCTCTTGATTTCCTCCCATTTGTTTATAGGTAGGTGATTTACTCATGATTTCCTCGCCACTGTTCACTTTCTTGTGAATAATACCTACCACTTGCATTTTACGTTGCTTTATCATGGGAAGGAATGTGCAGAAATAGAATGATGGTAAAAAAATATTTTTAATAACAATCACTACTAATCTAATTAATTAGTTTCAAATTCTTCAACTAGTCGTCCGCTCCTAACTATCAATCAAGCCAATAGCAGACGGATCAAAGATTTTTTCGGAGGTGTTAAGTTTAGGGGCGGCTATTGTAACGGCTTAGTTACGTTTACAAGGGTTAGAAACCCCTCTTGTGGTAATAAATTAATAAATCTCGTAAAAATTAATTTTTTTGTAATGAAATTATTCATACCACGGCTAGCTCAGTAGTGAATCGATGACACGTACCTTGCGAAAGGTGGGTTCTTTATCCTCACTTATGATCTGACCTGGTGTGACCACTCCCAAGTATGTATTCTACAGAGCTGGGCAGTATTCGATTTTGTAAATACTTTTTAGTATTCAAATACTTTGTAATTAAATACTTTTATGGAAGCAGTATTTGTATTTGTAACTCAAATACTTTCACAAATATTTAGTATTCGAATACTTCGCAAGTATTTGGATACTTCGTAAAGTATTCGAATACTTCGCAAGATATTTGAATACTTTGAGAAGTATTCGAATACTTCGCATAGTATTTGAATACTTAATCTTCCTTTTTTTTTACCAAAATCGACTACTCCAAAATTTCTCGGGAAAACACTTTTGATCTAGTAGCCCAATCTTGGAACTGTTTGAAATGATGGATTCTACACGCCACATTCTATAAGAAAATTTTTTTTCCGGGTCGATCTGAGACAATTTTTTTTAGGGCCTCAAAAAAAGGCAGTGTACAACCTTCCTTTTTTACCAAAAATCGACTGCACCAAAATTTCTCGGGAAAACACTTTTTCTTATTAATTTTGGTGCATAGAATCCAAAACAATTCGTACTTTTTCGATCAGACTTCTCAATCAAAAGTTATAGACTAGAAAGTAGAAACCAATTTCGAAAGAAAATTCAAAGGGCTGTAACTTTTGAACTAGTAGCCCAATCTTGGAACTGTTTGACATTATGGATTCTACAGGCCACATTCTATAAGAAAATTTGTTTTCCGTGTCGATCTGAGACAATTTTTTCTTCGGGCCCCAAAAAAAGGCAGTGTATAACCTTCCTTTTTTACCAAAAATCGACTGCACCAAAATTTCTCGGCACTTTTTCTTATTAATTTTGGTGCGTAGAACCCTAAACAATTCGTACTTTTTCGATTAGACCTCTCAATCAAAAGTTATGGACTAGAAAACAATTTCGAAGGAAAATTCAAAGGGCTGTAACTTTTGAACTAGTAGCCCAATCTTGGAACTGTTTGAAATTATGGATTCTACAGGCCACATTCTATAAGAAAATTTTTTTCCGGGTCGATCTGAGATAATTTTTTTTCGCGCCTCAAAAAAAGGCAGTGTATAAGCTTTCTTTTTTTACCAAAAATCGACTGCACCAAAATTTCTCTGGAAAACACTTTTTCTTATTAATTTTGGTGCGTAGAATCCAAAACAATTCGTACTTTTTCGATCAGACTTCTCAATCAAAATTTATAGACGAGAAACCAATTTCGAAAGAAAATTCAAAGGGCTGTAACTTTTGAACTAGTAGCCCAATCTTGGAACTGTTTGAAATTATGTATTCTACAGGCCACATTCTATAAGAAAATTTGTTTTCCGATTCGATCTGAGACAATTTTTTCTTCGGGCCTCAAGAAAAGCAGTGTATAACCTTCCTTTTTTACCAAAAATCGACTGCACCAAAATTTCTCGGGAAAATACTTTTTCTTATTAATTTTGGTGCTTAGAATCCAAAACAATTCGTGCTTTTTCGATTAGACCTCTCAATATAAAGTTATGTACAAAAAACAAATTTCGAAAAAAAATTCAAAGGGCTGTAACTTCTAGTAGCCCAATGTTCAAATTATTTGAAATTATGGATTCTACGGGCCAAATTCTATAAGAAAATGTTTTTTCCCGGTCGATATCAGACATTCTTTTTTCCGGCCTTAAGAAAAGGCAGTACTTTTAAGTTATTCAAATATTTGAGAACAATTTAGAAATGTTTAGGGAAAGTTTCCATTGTCACAAAATCAAGTATACAAATCCGATTCATAGAAGTTATTATTATTATTTAACATGTATTTTCTCCACTTGTGTTTTTTTTACACGAGTTCTCGCGTATCCAAAATCCTGCAAAACTTTTCCCAACATTTCTATAGCTAGCCTAAAATGGAGCATGGACTTAATATTTTCCTGTGATAAAGTAAAATACAAACCTCCCCTTAAGTTCCTATCCTTTCACTGCATGCACAGATGTACAGTGCTTTTGGTGCTTGCAAGCACAGGGCGGGACTTTTAAAACAAGAGCTTGGTTGTGACTTGCAATTACATTTCCACTCGAGAGAGGAGCACCTTGTACACCATAGGCGTTAAAAGCGTTGATTTTTATTCTTAATGAGACAAACTTTCGTATAAATTGTACCTCTGGCCTGTTAAAAATTGAATACAGACTGAACAACCTATGTTCAACGAGTGTATGTATTTTTTGCTGTCGTTAATTGGAGTGGGGGAGGTGTTAAGGAAGTTCTTCCACTTAGGCTGAACGTCCAAAATTCTCGGATTTGAGTTTTTTTCTTTTCTCCCAGTAATCGCAACGTGCAAGATGAAACTAACGGATTTGTCTGAACTTTTGGGTATGCCCCTTCTAATTTTGCAAAAATATTCCTAAAATTTCTACCCTAAACGAGCGTGCGAATAAATTACAATCTCGGCGAAGTTTGGTGTCCAGGTATTTTTGAATGTGAAAATATCGATATCAAACAGCTTTCTAAAGCTCGTATCAAAAACTGTTATTCCGAAATACATAAAGAGTGTATCTACTAAATCTAATGAAGTTCTGAGCATTTTTGTTATCCGGTCAAGCATAACGCAGTTGGAATTCTTTTTTTGTATTTACAAAAATTGTTTTGGATTCGTTATTCGCATACTGAGATCAGAGTTTTTGTTCTCACCTTCACTTCGGGATATCAAAGAATTAGAATTTTGGATGTATTTTTATAGAGAAAGGGCATACTTAAAAACGTAGACAATGCAGAACGCTCCATCTTTCTGGACGTTGATCCTGGGAAGAAAATTAAAGGAAATCGCAAATTTTGGAACTCTGTACAGCTTTCACCCTCTGTAATTGGAACCCACTTCATCTAAGTCATGCATTAGCTCTGGATCAGAAATGAGTATTTTTTTGTTTCGTCAAAATGTAAAATAATTTTTAAGGATTTGCTAAACTTAACAGTGGGATAAGGAATAGTAGCTAACAAATAAGTGTCAATTATAGGTACTGTTTATTAGTGGTACGCTTATTGAACAACGGCAGCTAAATATTGCACAAACTGTCAGTACATTAATTTTTGGTATAGTTACAATAAATATTAAGTCTTTTAATTCTAAGTCATAAGTACAATTTAGAACATTATCATCTGCAATAGCAATCGTTTTCGTTAACATTGTTTTATTTCTCGCTGGAACAGCTCTCTCGTCTTTCTATTTCAAGTTGGATATCACCACTTTTAATATTCTTGAACAGAGCGATGGCTTCCTTATGAGTTAAACCGTCGAAAGTCATTCCGTTGATAGAAAGAATCTTATCTCCTGAAATAGTGGTAGAATAGTTATGAGTAATTGATCTAAGTAACTTACCTTCAAAGAGACAACCATTTTCGGCTGCTTGTCCTAACTTGAAGATCGTTTTCACGTAGAGTCCCATCGGGCCTCTCGGAGAATCTTTGCCCCCGACCACCGAAAATCCCAAAGATTTCATACCGGGACCTTTCCGAAAATGTGCGATCACGCGACGAACACTATGATTATTTGTACTATTTCCGTTATTCGTCCTCGTTGAAGATTCCTGACATATTGAAAACTTTCGCATTCCAGTCACGGCCGCGTGGTCACCTTTAGGGTTAGTTCTACCCTCTTCTACAGTTTTTTTGAATTCGCTCACAGAAGATGAACTTCGCAGTAAAGGTAGCTCGGAGAATGTAACTCTACTTTCAGGGTTGAGTGCCGATAGTGAAATTTTGGATAGCTCTCTCGTCGCGTATTCTGAATTATATTTAGCATTTAAGGTGGCTCGAAAAGGAGTAACGAATCGAATTTGATTGTCTTCGATCTTAGCAGAATTATACCGAGCGACAACTATTTCCAGTTCTCCGTTCAGAGGAGATAGCAAGCTAGTAGCGAAAGTAAACGGCATTCCTCGTAACCTAGTTCCATTTACTTTCACGACTTCATCTCCAATCCGTAAATTTCCATTCCTATAAAGATATCCAAGGGGTAAGCTCTACTAGAATTGCTAGCAACTTACCGATCCGCTACGGAATTCGGCGAAATGCAAGTAATTACGTAAACGCCGGAGTTAATAGTGTCGTTTTTAATCCCGACTGTAATTCCGCTAGATTCGCTATTTTGCAATTTTAGACGGGCGCACTTAAACTCTTTCTCGACGGATGCGCCACAAGTTTTGCCGTAGGATTGAAGAGTTGCTGTTGGGTACGCTATTGAGGAATTAGAAATAGTATTAAACAGCACGTCTTCGTCTAATGGCCTAAAAAATGAAGTGTTGACTTCTGTCTTATCCGCACTGGAGTTTCTGCCTTTCCGACTGGAGTATCTGGAGCGATGTGAACTTCGAAATTCGTTAAAATGGTAATCACTGGTTGAGCCTAAATCGGGAGATTGTAAGGGTTTGGGGTTTTGAAATATTAGAGCGTTCAATGAAGTCGGCTTGTAGTCGCTTGATAAATTTGATATGGTGGTATCTGTATCTGTAGAAGATCCGCTGCTTTGCACATCTTCTGATAGATTACTGACTTGGGATTTGATAGAGCCTCTAGGGGAATCCATTCGAGTGCCGTCACTGCCATATCCGCTTTCGTCAGATTTGATTACGGCAGGTTTCGAAGGTAGCACCCGCGAAATTTCCGAAAGGGAGAAGGCCTTCTTTGAGCTGGTCAGAATGAGCTCGCTTAAGCTGGTTAGACTGCCACTTTTGCTGGATTTTGAACAAACAGTATCACCTTCGTCGTCGGATTTTGAGGAAAACTTGGAAAATATGTTTTTAACCACCTTGAATTTTCGCGAATGCTTGTAAGTCGGTTTGTTTTCAGTTAGTACTTCCATTTTATGGGTTAATTGTTGATCTTGTTCGGATAACTCGTTAATGAGTTTCTGAAACTCTTCTTTAGTGGTGGGTTTAATTAGAAGTAAGTACTCCAAGAATTGTTGCTCGTTTAGTTCAAGGTTATTTGCTAGGGATTTTGTTCGTTTTTTATTTCTGGTCGTTCTGTCGTCATATTTTCGGTTACTGGCTTCTTTGTAAACCTCGTAAATTTTTTTAACGTCAATTGGTAACAGTTCAGAGCTTAGACAGTTTGAGTTTGGTTCAAAATGCCTGTCGTTTCGCGAAAACATATTCCGCAATGAGTCGACTCGTGAAACTTTTCGATTGTTGATTCCATCGTGGTGTTGGGTGCTTTCGCTGCGAAATCGCAATGGAGACCAGTGGCGACGCCGTCCTGACGTGGATAGGATTTCAGATGAATCACTACGTTTGATTTGGTCCCACTTGCGCCCAACTTTCTTACCCCATGTTGTAAAACCTGTACTGGGAGTGTTAGATAAAAAAACGTCTATACACTAACAGCCTACCGTTGTTATGTTTTGGTTTTACTATCTCGCTGTCAGTAGAATTTAAAGAAGAATTCGAATCCGTTCTGGTTGGGGCTGCTACGTCGGAAATTGGTTGTAGACTTACTAACTGAGGATTGGGGTCAGAACATCGTCTTTTAAATAATCGCATTTTATTCTTGGAGTTCCTGCAGAAGGAGTTCAATAATCACCAGAGCAAGTCGAAGAAACAAACCTTTCAAATCATCAGTTTTTTATACTTCCGGTATTGTAGCCGAGAAAGTGATAACATCTCTTCCTCTATCACCATTGGAACTGTCTAATCAATCTGGAAAGATATACAATCAGTTAGTTTAAATCACCCATCAATTATTGTACGCATGTTTCGTTAATTCTGGGCTATTTTAAAGCACAGGTTGTCATTCTAAATGTTGCTTCCGTATTTAATAACGAAAGGTGCTTCCCACGTTCTGATAATTATCATTTTCAAGGCAATATTTGTAAGAAAAGACTGGGAAATGTGATGCATAGGCGGACGGAGAGGAATTTTTTAATAAATTGACGGCACGTTACCCATATACATTTTCATTTTGTTGACATACACAACAGCCGTTTTTCATTCATACCTCAGTGTGGGCTGTAACAATTATTAATTCTAAACTCAATTAAATACCTGTTTTTCAACCTACCACACGAATTGATTTTAATAATGTGAAATTCGAGCCTTTATTTTGAATATTAGCGACCTGCACTCTATAAGACCGCGGTAACCCATACTGTTTACTTTCGTTTATAGTCTTTAAATAGACAATGGGCATTACATAATGGATTATAGATATAAAAGAAAGTAATGCCAAACAATGAAAGTTTAATCAATGAAAACGGCGTCATTTAAATTTCGTCTCTAATGTACCTAATTTTGGAGAAAGTAAAATAGTACTAGTCTTCCGGGTTTGTCTAGAAAAACGAATTGGAAACATTGTTGCTATTGCCTCATTTTTGACCATTGGCGTTGAGAAGCAAAAGAAAATTGCGTACTCGTCTCGATTGGGAAGTAAAAACCTACTGCCATTGTTTACACTGTTAACAATTGATGCGTAGACAATTACAGTGCCGTCAATCAGTGTGAATCAGTGCTTATCGCCTCTTGAAATCCGATTACCACCGGCTATTACGACCAGTAAGTAATAAAACAAAAAATAAGTAGGTAAGATTATTCCTTTTGACCGGTTTTGATATAATACGTTCACTAAGACCTAATTTGAGAATACCAAAATGGTACTTTTACAGGCATAAGTGGTTATAAAAAATATAATAATGTTACTGACCTTTACATAAAGCGTGTGCAATAAAACAGTTATTAATGAGGTTGATACGAAATACGTAAAGTGTAAGTTTTATAATCTATTTGAAGGAATAAGTAGGTAATTACAACAATAATAAACAACTTTGCTGTGATTGCACATGTAGGTAAGGTATACGCACTTATATACACTTTCTTCTTCCAACCGAAATACAACCAAAACATAACGCCCAAACATCGCCTACTTCACCTTGTAGACTTTGGCAGGTTATCGAAAAAATTGGGTCAAAAAACTAATTACAAAACCCATTTTTGGTCAACATTAGCTTATCTATACATCTTTTGCATTTTTTAACTAAAATTGGCAAATAAAGCTAAATACGGTGCAGACCTTTTAGCTAGAATTATTTCTTCGTGGGTGTGAAAAGAATTGGGTTTACATTTTTTGAACAAGCCATTAAAAATATGCTGTAACCTGGTCAGTATACCTTCCACATTTATCAAAAGCACCATTCCAGAAGGGACCTCGGTATGTTTACTCATGCAAGCTGTTTTGATTTTGAACTGAACGGACATGACAACCTAACGAAATCAAAAAGTGGTTAACAATTACAAAAACAAAAACCGAAAAGAACCCATCCTCCATTGTTTTGTGTCGATTGGAGCGATGAATTATGACTTTTGGCTATAGATTTATTTTTGTAAAAACAAGAATTTAACGCCCTTCTGCATTTTTTTAAATTTCTGTCCATGATCTTGTAGTAAAGTATCTCGGCGAATCGGTTAGTCATTTCTCGAATCTAGTATTCCTCCATACAGCCCAAGTCATTCTCGATTACAAAAACACGTAGAAGGAAGCATTGACCTAGTCAGGAGTTTTTTTTAAGAACCGCCCCTCAAACAAATATCTTTAAAACGAGCCCTTTGTCGTTACATTAAGATGCATATGATGTGATGGTATTAAGAAAATTATCGTTAGTAGGTACCACAGATGAAGTAAACATTACCTTTTTTACTTTTTTAGATATCGATGTCAAAAAATTCTTGAGACGTAACACATACGCAAACAAATTGAACTGAACTGACCAATCGTTTTAAAATACGATAAAAAGAATCGATATCTTGTTCCGTTGCGGTTTATTCGCAGTATTGATAATAGCAATTTTGTACTGTGATTAATTTATTTACGTTATATTCAAGGGTCACACAAAGAAAACGCGAAACCGCACTAACATTTTTTTAGAATCCTCACCTTCTGTGCAGAAGAAGCATTAATCCTAATTCCGCTAATTAATATTATTATATTACACCAATAAACTACTGTATACTGATTAAAAAATACTTTTTCCACTTTCATTGCTGACTGATATGAAAATACAGGGTGTCCCAGGATGATTCTAAAACGAGATTATGGAATATTTTCAAAATTTCATTCTGTATTAATCGCAATAAGAGATATTTATCTAAACTATTTTCAGGTTGTTGACACCTCCTGTTAAAGCAGAAGTGATACCATCTTGCTTATTTTAAATGGGGCCCTTTTTATATTGTTTCATTTTTGGTTTCTATGTAAAATTGAATATAGATACATTTCATGTTTAATAACTAAATTTCACATATTTTAGTTTTTATTTCAAAGATGATGCTTTTTTCCTAAGTATATGAGTGCTGCTATTATTTAATTGGGGCTGATTTCCTTTTAGAAGAAGTTCCACTTCAGTGGCCAGTGTTAATATTTTGATTATAAATAAATACAGGGGAGGTTAAAAACTAACATTATTGAATTGAAATGAAAAACCGTTATTTTTAAGTGAAAACTCCCCTATTTTTATAACTGTGTCTTAAAAATAAGCGTACCCTTGTAGTTTTCGAACTATTGGCTGTTTAATAGGTTTATATATTTATTAGGTTTTCGAAAACATTTCAGGGGTAGAATTTCTACTCCTGAATCTCGTCCTAGGCAGTTTATTTTTCGTGGCTAGCTAAAACAAAACCAATAAAGACCGTTATTATTATTATTATTAAAACTGAAAATTTTTAGAATAGACTACTTTATACGAAGTTACCCTTACTGTTTGTACCTACTAATAGGGTGTTTCCATTTAAATAAACTTGTTTTTAGTTATTTTTTTTAATTCAATTTTTAATATAATTTTTTGAACCCCCGCGTATTTATTTGTAATCAAAATAAAAACACAGTCCACTAAAGCGGAATTTTCTACAAGCAAGCCAGCTCCAATGAAAAAAAACTCATATAGAAAAAGAAATCGACCGTGTTATCGCAACGGCGAGATCGTAGCAGGATATTTTCAAAAACCAATTTTTTATGTTTTCCAAAGAGAATTTTGCACAAAATCTAAGAATGAAAAAATATATAGGGTATTCCATTTAAAACAAGCAAGTTGGTATCAACTTCCGATATAACCAGAAAGCCATGAAGATATTTTACATCAATTCGTTTTATTGACATTACTATACCGTACTGTCTGTACTCTACTGTCAAATTTTCAAAACATTTTGAGGTTCCGATTTTGAAATATTCGAGACATCCTGTATGCATGCTTATACTGGATAAATGCAATTTTTAGTTAGTAATTCATTTTTGCAGTTTCGAATGTAGTTCAAAAAACCGTTCTATCCCACCTGCAGAGAAACCACGGTAGATTTAATTAGATTTGCTCGGAAAAACTTGGAAAAATCGCGAAAACTCGGAACGTGTTTTTCAATTTTCACCAAAAATGATTTCATATCATCGTAAAGGCTAAATATTGGTCAAATTTGAACTCGATAGCTTCAAAATGGCGACCTGTATCGACCCGTTCCGGGGTGTGGCATGAATTGCGAAATCTGTAAATTTTTATATTAGCTATTTGCATATTCATTCAAATTTTTTACGCTCACACTTCCCAACGATAGGGTTCTAGACATCAAGAATACCCAAATATCCTGAAACTTCAAAAATACGCTCTGTAATGAGGTGACAATATTTGTTCGGAAAGAAGCCCATCCGGAACTTCGAATGGGGAAAAAAGGTTTTTTTTTATTTTTTTGCCCGATAAAGAGCACCTAAACAAGCGCCTATACTTTTCCGCTTCGCGAATGATAATTCCAATTTTCAAAAACCAATTTGGGATTCGTTATTTCCAAAGATTCTGATCCTAAACAGCATTAAGATCAATACCAATGAGCATAAAATTTTATTTCCTAATATTTTCTTTCCTCTAATTGCAAAATCCAGTATCACTGGCAGAGAATATTTTAGCGCAAATATAATGCGCTATTATACGGGCGTTCTTCCGGCCGTCCGTATGAGGGACGAGATCTCGGCACTAGAATGTCGTAGAAAGTACTCAATGTAGTAATGAAATGTTTATAAATAATTAGTGTACTCGTATTTGTCTTTTCCAAGGAGTAAAAACTTAAAGTTTGGAAAAGACGAGTATACTCATTATTCTTTGATGTCTCGTTTGATAGATACAGGTCTACCATTGGTGCTGTAAAAATGTCTTCGAGATGATGACCAAATTTGTGCGAAATTATTCACCAATTTCTTTGGAGAAACATCGTGGCCTCGTTTTTGGTTAAGTTGGTAGAGGAAAATCTTTATGTGTGCATTGGGAAAACTGCAAAACACATTACCATTGATGCACAGGAGTTAAATTTTGTGCTCTACCTCTCATACTCTCATTTGAGTTAAGTTGGTAGAGCAACGGGAAAACGGCTAAACCCATCGAATTAATACACTAGATTTTGTAGTCTTCCTGCAATACCCCCTTTTGGTGAAGTTGGCGTACCAAAATCTTTCTTTACCCACCAATTGCATCGGGGAAGCTTATTTGTTGCACAGGAATTAAATTTGGTCATCAGGGAAACTTTGATGCGCACATGAACTAAGTTTGCTGCTCTTCCTGTCATGCTCTCAATTAGGTTAAGTTGGTAGAGCAAATTCTTCACCTGTTAATTTAGTCGTAGAAACTGCAAAATGCATTGCCTTATGTTCTCTTTCTGTTTTGGTTAATTTTTAGCGCATATTTTAAGGATAAGGATAATGTGTTGTTATTTACGTTTTATCCGTCGGTCCGCCGTCCGTCCGGATCTACTTCTGCGGTTTTGAACTACTTTTTGGGGAATTGTCCTACAGTCCTGCATCATTGGAAATTCAAGGGTGTGCTGCGCCGTGTCTCGTTACATAAAAACAATCATTTATGATTTAATATTACAGATGGATTTTGAAAAACAAATTCACCCACACTATTTATTATAAATGAAATGGCGAACGCAAAATAAATAATATTCCACTCGTGTTCACAATTTAACCAATCACGAGACGAAAAGCTGCCAGGACATTTTGTGACAGGACTTTTTTAAAGAAGGATATTAAGGGCTAGGGATGGAGAACTGAGATTTGGATGACTATCTGGCTCGCAACCATTTTGGCCGGTGATTGATGGATCTCTATAAAAATGTTAGGTATATTAATATTACCGCCAGTGGTGTGGGGTGATCTTTTTAATTTTTCTGGTTCTTTTCTTCAAGTGCTCTAGAAGTTTGATTTTCAAGGGTTAAGTACCATTATTTATTAGTTGTTGTCATTTTGCTTATTACCTAATATTTTGTAAGGAGCCATCGAGAAAAAGACGAGGGTGCCGACAAACTGAACGAAGCCAAGTTGCACCTTGGAGCATCTTCGATTTTCTTTAACATTTCCAGATCTCTATAGCCTACTTCCTCAAATTTCCCCCGACTCCCTTCGTGACTTGAAATACCCCCCGTTAGTAACGCTTCCTCCCAACTCAAAATTGCAGATGCAAGTGAGTTACACTTCGTATACACTGACGAAAAATGAAAAAGGGTTAAGGTAATAGGTCAATCACAGAGCTTAATTTTCCATTGCGGTTTCTGCAATAAAGTGCAAAACGCTACCATGATAACGTAAGATAACCCCTGGGTTTAGAATCGGATAATTTCCGGGTTGTCTGAAATTTTATTATTTTCGTGGGCGGTTATACCCAACCGATTCTTTGGAGTTATCTAACAGTTATGACCTACAAATTTTTTTATGCAGATAACAGTCAAAAATTAACATTCGTAGAATTACAATCTTAAAAAATAATGGTGCTTGTATGAAGGTTAAAAAGACAACTTTGTTGAAATATGTAGTGTCTAAATATACACAAACGTAAATAGAAATGTAGATATGAAAGCTTTTGCCGTTATAAAAAACTCGATTTCCTGGAAGATCAAAAAACAGTAATTCTGTCGTGCATTAATTTAAATGTTGCATTAGAGCAACGCGTTATTGTTTATAATCGTCCTTTTGAGAGCATTAGCACAGACAAATGTGTGTGATTGAATGTAGCTAATTATTTAAATTATCAAAAAAATAGTTTGCTTACTTATAATTCGAGCATCTCGGCAGGTATTGTCTTTGCACTGTACCGCTTACTATACTGAGAAGTTCAAACATGACGTTTTCATTTACACATTTTCAAACACATGCTTATCATATTTTTGTTTTATATCTTCCGAGGTACATAAAAAAAACGTCAACGCAATAAACCAGGAACTGCTCCAGTCTTTCTCAAATAACCTACTGGATTTGCTTCCTGTGTCAATCGTTCAATTATTCAGGTGATTTTCTTTGTGGGGAATTGTAAATCATCCACTCCACAATAGGTATCGTAAGTTTGAAAGTTTATATTGGAGGCTATATTAATTTAAAAAGAATAAGTACGTCGAACATTTATGTATTTATGAATGATGAAGCAATTTATGTTTACTTTCACTTCGCTATAGTGCCTATAGTCAATCAGTAAAGCTGCAATTCGCTCTGCTTATTTACTTTAAATAACAAGTACATCGCAAACTTGTTTTATAACAAGATCGAAAGGTTAACAGCGATTTCCCCCGATATTTTCCTATTCAAATATTAACCTCAAGTGGTGAAAAAGTTAGAAACTGGAACCAAACAATAGCATAATAAACCTATGCGCTAAATAGCCCCTATATAGTAATTTTATTTCAAAGAAACTATCTAAAACTAATCTGTGTAATTATTTCACTCAAATTTTTATCAAACTTTCCTAGAAAATCAGGCACTTACAGTATCCAGAATACACGAGTACGGTACCTACCATTACC